AACCTCTCTAACTTCCTCAATTTTTTCAGACATATATGAGCGCCTGATATTGTTATAAAATGGTGCGGATGGATAAAGATATAACTGATCACCCCTCCCAGCAGGAGCAGAAATCCATAAAGAACAATAACATTGTTTTATTTGCTCATTTAGTGCCAGTTTTGCTGGTATATGCTTGTTTGAAGATGTTTGTGTTAGGTTTAGGTAGAAAGCAATCACTGTTTCTGCAAATAGGGGTTTGATTGCTACAGACCCCCCCTGTGTTCACACGTTGCTGCAAGTCGGTGCACATTACCCCCTGATTCACAAGGACAGAGCAATTCAGGAGAGTTATAACTCTTTAAAAACTGACACATATTGAAATGTGCTTATTTTTTCTTCATGCAATGGCTGTCTGACTGGACAGATCATTCTGAAATATGGGTGACTTTTAAATTTATGTGGTGCATGGGGTGAATTGGACACACAGGTGTCAAAAAACCTGTGTGGTAGACTCTGGAACGGATTGCCTGGGTGTCATTGGGATGGAAACAACAGCTGCTGAAAAAGAATATCTGAAAATCTACAGCTGCAAAAAGTGGATACTTGTGACTTTTGTAGAGTTAAAAGGCACGGCTCTAAAACTACTCTAAATGTAGCGACGAAGTTACTGAGTAGAGAACATTGAATTCTCGGTTGAACCCAAGGGTCGTCTGGATGACATCATCTTTAGTTGTATCATATTTTGCAAAGGGAAGACTTAGCTGTATACATATGCGCTTACGGTCCTTTTCAATCAGCAACTTAGTGATATAACTTTCACTTTTTGTCCTTCAAACCGGTTTGCTTGCAATGTTCCAGAAGTTCTGTGGAGCTGAAAGCAAAACAAATTGCTTTCCATGAAACCTACTTTGGTTTTATGAAACTGGACAAACAGGTATATTGTTTGTTTGCTTTGAACATGCCAAACCAGAGGTAAATAAAGCTTGAATACTGTTGTAAATGAGGTTGGGGCAGGAATCCGGCTTTGATCCTTCCTCTTTTTCAAAGTAACCCTTGGCTCACTCTGAAAAGGTTTGGCTCGGCATTGTCTTTGCGTTGGGTCAAGACTGGGGCAAGAGTGAGATCGGTGGACTGTAAATATTACGAGAGCTGGGGTCGACATTTGCACTGTCTGGGTTTTATCTCGAAACTGGAGCAGAAGCTGGATGCGAAACCTGCTCCGTTATGTGACTGGGACATTAGAAAACAGAGGCAACGAGGAGGAAATTAACACTGTCTCACCTGCACTGGCTTTTCTGACAGACAGACAGAAGAAGTCAGAATCTGGTCAAATGTACTCAGGCAGAGAGCAAGACGCTGAAGTAGCGACTAGAAAAACAAGCTAGAAAGGATCTGTCGGCACACGGCCAAACCGAAAATAGTGAAGAGACATAAAGAAATATGGCAGAACGTGTGAAATCCCTGCTGTCGACTTAACGAGAGATTCTTAAAAGAATAAAAAATAGCTGGCAAAACTGCAAGAAAGCAAGCAGCTTGGCTTTTAAAGGCAGCCTGTTCCACCCTCTGGGCCTTGGAGCCGTTACATAAGCACCAGGATCAAGTCTGAGCGAAAACTAAAAGCAATCTCCGTGGGAGGCCCACGGATAAACCTGGATTAGTGATGGTTTCAGGATATTTGTAATAGGGAATCCCATCAGATTTCACTAAGCAAATATGTATGGCGTATGCCACCGAACATTAGCTGCAAACAAAAAGAAATGAAGATTTCCAGGGCGACGGCGCCCGTCCGCCTGCCTGAAAAGGGCCTGAGGAAAACGCCGAACGCAACCTCAGTGTGGCTTCTGCACCGTCTGTGCCCACCGTTTCATCCTCCAGCGCTGCACAGTGACGTTATGAAACCGAATACTTTGTCCATCTTTTGTGAATCTGTCAGGTTTTCTTTCTCTCGTACGTTGGATTACCTTGGAGGGCAATTAAAGTAGTTTAAATTTGTCCAACTTTGGTTTTGGGAGTGTGCTAATATCAGAAACCATACCCCCCAAAAAACTATTTCTAGTAGCAAACATTGCTAGAGAAAAATGTTAGCAATCTTGTGAACGTGGTCTGGTGAGCTGCAGGCGGTTGCGTTGCGACACTTTTTCATTAAGCGGTTGAAGTTTCGGGGCGACAAAGTGTGCGTCATCGGAGCTAACGCCACAAGATAGTAGCTAACCAAGAGCCTTTTCTGATAAAATTTCTCTATTTCAACAGGAATTAATTCCACCAGCACCTGAATACCACAAAACCTTTCCAAGTTGCTGTTTTATAAATAAATCATCAAAATCTTTTCCCTTTCTTTGCCTTTTCTTTTAGTTATTTCAGCATCGACGTCCGGCTGTAGCAGTTAGCATATGTTGCTGATTTTATTTTTTTATTTCGCCAGGATTTTCCGCACTTGATTTCTAAAGTAACGTAGTGTGTGTTGTACCAGCCAAGTCTGGCTTTGCTGGTCTTTGTTTCTGACTGATTACACCAGTAAAATATATTTCCAATACTCAGGAGAGTGATTTCATATAAAACAATCACAAGCATAAATTAGAGGAAGAGTTTGTCTCATGCATAAGAATCGACCGGTTCAGCAGTAAAGAATTAACATGACCAAGTCAGTCAGTGTTAAAAATTACTCATACATTTGAGCAAAGTCACGCAGTTTAAAGTGCAACTCTGCTAAATACTAACGAAACAAATGTCTCTTCTTCTTCTGGCCTTAAGTAAATTGAAATAGTTTTGTTAATCCCCATTGAATCCGAATACGGAGTTTGCCATAAAAAAATATCTGTCAACTATTTTAAAAAATGCTTCATGCAATGTAGCGTTACGTTTCTGAATCCGTCTTTTGTCCTACAAGAAAAGAAAAACAAATATCCAAAGCCCGCTGAAGACGACAGCCTCTAAAAACCCAATGTTTTCAGTCTCGAAAGGTGCAGTAACGACGCTATTAAAGCGAGAATAAAAGCCGCAAAAATGTGTCTGCTGAGGAGAGATGGTCCATGAAGGTATTTATTTGCTTAGTCTCCTGCTGCGACGGCTGTAGCCAGAAGTGGTTGTAAAAATAAATAAATAAATAAATAAAAATCCTTTCTTCTCTTTTCTTTTCTTTTCTTTTGAAAGCAGGAAAGCAGACGAAGTCATTGTTTGCGTGCCATGCATTCATTTCCTGATTGTTGATCCAAGCACGAGATGAATGTGAACGAACTAGTTGCATGCCGTCGAGCCAGACATGCATGCTCTTCAGTGTTAGAGGCGCGTTGTTTAGAAGTGAAACAAATGACTCAGCAAATACTTTGACGTCTTTTCAAACTGGAACAGGCGGCTTGAACGCGAGCCAGGCATTTTCTCTGCACTAAGCCTAAACGTGCGATGTTCTTTTCAATTAGGTGATATTGTGTTCATTCAGCACCTTTTGTTTCTGTGTAACAGCTGTTTATTAGGATGTGCGACGAGGCGGAGAGAAGAGGTAGAGGAGTGAGTAAGAGGGCGGGCATTAAAAGGCTGCAGTCCGTTCTCACCGCAATACATCAATGTGTGGATCTAGTTTGCTCTGTTCAAGCGTAGACCAAGTATTTAAACATACATTTAGAACATTTGTACCTAAGTTTAGAAGAGAAAAAGAAATGCATAAAATGGAAAAGCTGACAGAAAAAGCTAAAAATACAATCCAAAAAGTGATGCCAGACTCCAGAATGGGTTATGCAATCATTGAAGTAAACTCAAAGACGGAGGCACAAGAACAAGAATGGCCTCCGGTGCTCTTTACGGTCTGCTCCTGCCAAATGGACATGACTTCCAGAGTCTCTCTCTGTAATGTGTGTGTGAGGTTGTGTCAAACTGCACTGGTGGTGAAGTCACTTTACTTTCAGATTCAATTTTTCAGCCCAAGTTGCATCACTCATCCACATGCAAACGGATTTTCTGTGTGGATGAAAAGCAAAACCTCTTTGGTGTCAACAACGTACAGGATATCCAACATGAGGGGAACCTCAAGACAATGACTTTTTAACCTCAGGCCTGATATTTTAACTCAAGTTCGGAACCGAAGAAGCCATTTGGATGAGAGGCGAAACTTCTTCAGGAAACGAGTGACGAGCTTCCTGTTGAGGAACCCCACTTACCCTGCCAGGGAGACAAGCGTACTTGAAGCGGACCTCTGTGCTCGTTTTATGACCGTGCATTCTTCATTCACATGGAAGTCGCTACTACCAAATTGAGAGGACACCCGAGTAGCTCATCAAACTTGTTGAATCCATTCAGATTGTGGGAAGTGAAGTAATATGTCACGAGAAATGTAGGCAATCAGTATGAGTGACTGTGAACCCCTGACTATGAGAGGACAGTGCGCACAGAGTATGCGCTACTCGCAAAGTACACCTGAGTTTGTAAGGGGCTTCAGGGTCAGATTTATTCAGGATATCTTTCTGGTCATTTGTCCAATGATCTGAAAGATATCGCTATGACACAAACACATCAATCTTTCTCCACAGCTCTATACGCTTGTTTCAACCTTTTATTTGAAGCAGACAAGCATTATTCCTTGTCCAACCACATACTCAAGCGTACTTCACTCAGGAATACTAGTAGTTTACTGTGCAACAGCGAGTAGCAGTCGTAAAAGTCGATCTTTGCGCGAGCGTGTCCGGCGGAGGTTCGGTTCGAGTTCGCGTCGAGTCTGCGCAAAAGTCAACCGTCACAAATGCATACGCATGCTCCCTGTGGCCCGGTGAACTGCTTGGTGGGAAACTGTGTCGCCGTTGAAATGTTTTGTATGCGGCACCGCGCTGATGAGCTCGGGAGTTGGCGCAACCAGTGGCGAGGATGCATGACTGCCACTCTCTGTGCCACAGTAACACCTGTGCAACGGCTGCCTTAATCAAGAAGAAACACAGCTAAGTGCCCAAGTCGCTGCTCATCAAATTTGCTTGTCGAAAGCAAATTTCTACAAGCAAATTTAGGCAAATGTAGGCAGTTGGTGCGCTTGAGTATGAAATCTCAACCGGGAGCCGAGAGTGCGGACAATACGCCAGACTTTGTGGGAGCCTATATGCGTTGTCCAACTTTTTACTTGATGCAGAATAGCTTCATTCCATGTCCAATCGCATCTCAGCCTCAGCACTTTCAGTTTAATCTTTTCTACCAGTTTTTTCCCCATTTCTCCCTCTACTGCCCATCTCTCCTTCTCACAATCCTTTGCTCCTGATTGGCTGATTTCACCCTTTTCTCTTTATGAATTGAACAGCAGTGGCTGAATTCGACTGGCTGGAAGCTAATCAACTCAACTCACATGCTTCCTTCCCCCCCTTCCTCTCTCTCTCTCTCACAGACATTTTCCCATGTTCACCTGCAACCGTCAGAGCATCTCCTGCACAATCCCTCTTTCCCCCTCAACCTTTCACGCTCTCACCGGCATGCAGCCCGCTTTGTCAACAGCTCACGTAGCATCCAAGCTCTCTCTCTCTCTCACACACACACACGCGCATGTAGCTCATCTGCAATCACCCGCCGGGCTCACACACTCATCACAGATCGCGCGCCGTCACACACACTGAGGTCTCTTGTGATGCTGTGACTCTTTCCGTCATCCTCCTCGGTCACACGGCGGCTCGACCCGGGCTCGTCTTTCACTTGCAGACCACAGAGCCTCTCTGTCTGTCTGTCAGTCAGTGTGTGTGTGTGTGTGTGCGCACGCGTGCGTGTGGCGGTGGCATGAAGCGGTGATGTTCTGGGACAGGAAGAATAGTATGGGTAATTCCCAAAGACGGGCCAAAGGAAGACACAGACCCAAATCTGCAACAGGTACTTTAAATCTTGTGCTTTTTTTGAAAAATATGTTTGTGCAATCATTTGCTGTCAGCATCATATTTCTGCCCTGGCGTGCGTCTCACATTCATGCCTTTCCGTTTTTGTGATTGGGGTCATTCTGTGTAATTATACTTTGCATCCATCCCTGTTTTAATCTTTTTCCTAACCCCTGTCTCTCATTTATTCAAACTTACACTTAAATCTCTCCTTTTGTGCTCCTATTTTCACACATGTCATCTTCTTTCCCCACAGCCATACAGTCGGCTTTCCTTCCCGCTTCCTACTCCTGTCCATTCTTCCCCTTTATCAAGTCTTCATTTTCTCACAGATGTCGCCTGTTTTCCAGTCTCAAAGCAAACAATCAATCCCTCATCATTATGGATTATGAACCGTCTCACGGTCCGCTGTTCCACCCATTTCAGCGTTCTCCCACTGTGGATCCCTCCCTCCATTCATGCGCTCGCGCTGGGAAGGCACCACTCATTCTGCATCTGCATATGGAACGGCACTTTTCCATCAAGACCGTTGCTAAATACATTCGTCTCCTGATTTCGTCGCCTCTCTGTCCATAAACTCTGCTATAGTTTCCAGACTCGTGTAGCGTTTCGGCTTCTCGTTGCAGCCGTCCAGCTCACTGTCGCTTTATCCATTGTTTCCACAATCCTACTGTTCTCGTCGTGAAGGACTCTCACCCGGTCCAGTCGCCACTCACCTGCCTCTGGCATGCGGAGTTTTGCTTCGTCTTGGTTGCCAGGATTTGAGTGAAGTAGGTCAATTGGTCGTTTTCCTCTTGGCGTGTGACCAGACTGAGAAACGCTGTGTGAGAGTGTGTAATTGATACGCTTCCGATTCACTATTACTGCAAAGCGCCCTCTCTCTCTGTGGGTTGTGAGTCCTAAGGCTTCACACGTTCTTCGATGCTCTGCCACATCCTGCAGCGTCGTCCATGCTTGAGTGCGTGTACGGACGAGTGTGTGAGATTGCTCTTTAATTATCTCTAAAGGCGAGAGGTTCCTCTGAGAGCGGAAAAATGCCAGATAAAACATTTTTTGGGCAATCTGGAAGGTCAGGACCAAGAGAAGGAACGTACTGCAATGAGAGAAATGGATCAATTTACTCCCCCTGTCCTCCCAAAACTAAGCACGATCCCCTATTGTAGCGCATTCGTGCAGAATGTATGTAAGCTTTAACCCAAACTGACAGCCGCCCATCTGTTTGACCTTGGCTCTAATCAACATCTGAAGGTCATTTGCTGGCCTCAGACAGGCAGGAAACAACCACATCACCGTCACTCAGTGTTCCACTACAATGCGGCTGCATGATTTAGTGCCATGCCGACGACAGAGCAGAGGACGATAGAGGAGTCTGAGGTTTTATTTTTTGTTTTTAGTTTTCGGACCCAAAAAAAAATGACGTCTCTTGCTTTGCAGGTGAAGAGCTTCCCCACACTTTGTGTGTGATGCACACTTGGGAATACCGGTCATGCTGAAAAAGAAGTGGTTTATATGGACATAAAAATCTGGCATAAACTAATTCTCTTGTCTTGTGGCAATAACCTTGGCAGTGTTGTTGTAAAATAGGATTTGGATGAACTGCCAGATGCTGTTGGAAATAATTTAGGTTCTTTTAAAGGGCCAGTATCATGTTTTCTTGGCACATAGTGCCATTTTATAGCACAATCAAGTAACTCTATGTTTCTTTCAGTTGTTATAGAAATACTACTTATATCACATGTGACTTGAAAGAAATGTTACTTTCTCATTGAACGCCTTGAAAATAGGCCTCTGTCTCTTTAAGAAGTTCCTCCTCTTTCTGAAACTCTGCCTTCAGGAAGTCATCACAACATCGCTCCTCATTTTTACCAACATTTCACTGAGAAGGAGCTCATATAGGGAGCTCCGCAGAGTTCCACCAGGTGTTTGCTAATTGCTGCTGACTAGTCTGAAGGAGCCATGTTACAGGGAGGAGTGCTCTATGAGGCAAAAGCTCAGAAACTGCAGCTCCAAGGCGGAGCTAGCTCCACCCAGCCGTTTCGGACAATTGAATGGCTGCTACGGGAGATTAGAGGGTTTCTCAGATGTGTGAAAGAATCACGGCAACACTCCAGGTGTGTTTTTGACGGAGGAATAACATCACAGCATGATGTAAAACTGATATTGCCCTTTTCACAGTCAACCAGAACTGTAACCTGGTTTCACCAGTTTGTAGCGCTCAGGTTTAAGTTTAAACCACTCTTTATTTGTTGGCTTTTTGCAACCCTAACCCACTTAGCGTCAGAATACCACCCTGTAGCGATATCACTGCTGAATTCTGCAGTGACTATGTGAGCCGAGAGAAATCCACATTTGTCTTTGTCATGTTTGGTCCCGATGCGCTCTGTGACCTTCAGCGTCTTCGCAGCGGTTCGTCTGTCAGGCTGGAAATCGCTTTGGCATGTAAAGTATTAACTGGTGACACTTGGATCGTATTCGCCAACGAGTACGTCATACCAAAATGCATTTCAAACATCATTAATTGGAGTTTATCGTGTCGACAATAAATCTAATCTCACTGTGATATGAAATGTGTCAAACGTATGACATTTTTGTGGTATATTGTTCAGCTCAAGAGTCTCATCATGGAGTTTCTGCACTTTGTTAAATATGCAAACGAACCACATTCCCTGTTTTGTGTCTCCAGTGGCCATCATGTCTTTCTTCTGAATTAGTCATCAAAGCCGTCAACCAAACCACAAGGCAACCTGTGGTGATCTGGATAGCATTTCACTGCAGTCATCACTGCGCAAAGCATTTTTATTGAAGTGCGTTTACAGTTTGTAAGAGCTTTGAGGAATGTTTGTAAGAGAAGCTGATAAAAACAGAACTTTTGTTTTACTTCTACACATCCGTCCTCCTGCTTTTTAAATTAAAGGATGGAGAAAAGAACGTTGACTGTCTGTCCTCCCGCATCTTAACATTGCATAAGCAACATAACAGCAGCTGCGTTTCCGGTGCAAGTATCTACATGTCTATGTGCTGCTAATGTTAATAATGCAATTTTGCCATTGCTGTGTGCAATTCTGCTGTGAACTGGAGTCTGCCAGAAAGTCAGGATTGCTCTGAGTTAGCAATGCTAGTGATGGAACTCTCAATGTAGAACGTGCTCTCTCTCAGGTATCTGTCACACTTTTCTCGTACACATCAATTTATCTTAAAATACACACACACGTGCACGCACAAAAACTGATAGACAGACAGTTTCTGTGCTTAATCGTACCTAAAATATTTTTAGCAGGGATGATCTTCCATAGGAGCTAGAGCTAAACCTCCTCATTCAGATATTTTCAAATGGACAGATGATGTCATATTCAGCCTCCTGCAGCAAAGGCGGGAGGGTGGGAGAGAGGGTTGTGTAGCTGGAGATGATGATGATGATGATGGTCCACATAAACCATGAGAGAAACGGAGAGAAAGAGAGAAGAAAAAAGAAAGAGGAAGAGGAATTAGCAGTGTGGGAGCGGGGAATGGGAAGAGATCGGAAACAGAGCCGTGGGAACGTGCGCCGTGGAGGGCCCGCTGTTGCCATGGTAACCATACAGGTGTTAAGGCGGGTCAGCTGACTTCCTGGTCAGCGCTTCGCCAGCAGCCGGCAAAGTGTGAATGCTTTCAGATTGTTCATTCATTAACAGCAGAGAGAGAGAGAGAGAGAGAGAGAGTGTGTGTGTGTGTGTGTGTGTGTGTGTGTGTGTGTGTGTGTGTGTGTGTGTGTGTGTGTGTGTGTGTGTTGCCTGCCGATGTGTCCCCAGCCTGGTGGGCGTGTCGCACTTTGTTTCCTGTGGGAATACCTTGCTTTTATTGGAATGGCAGCGTCCAGCGCGCTACAAATGACGAACTCTTTCCTTCTGCTTCGACTCTTTTTAATCTCTGGGACCACAAGGCGCGAACAACAAAGAAAGAAGACATTCCTCAAGGCTCAATGTCAGAAAAGCAGCCAAGATTGATACCAAGTCTCCATAACAACCATTAGATCATGTCTACATGTCAGCCAGTGTTGTGGGTGCCAAGCAAAAGCCTTTTCTCTCCACTGATCTCCAATGTAAACATGTTGAGTGTACTCAGCTATATTGGGTTTATTATGTAATAAATGAGAGGTGCGTGTGAATTTACATTACACCTGACTGGGAGTAACAGGAAATGCTTTAAAGCAAATTCAGGCAATCATTCTGACAATTTCATTTCACTATTAATAGATCGACAGTTTCAACCCGTGTCCAGAAATGTCAATCGAATTAAACTAATAATATTTTTCATTCAATATGTCAATCGGTAAAAAGTTTTCTGTCTAAGAAAGTCCAGCTAGTTGTGATCAACCCGCTCATTATGCAGCAACCCTATGAATCCAATATGTTATGCATTCTGCATAACATATTATGCAAAATGCATAATATGTTTAAAATAAACTCCGCTAGAAAAACTATACAGTGACTAAAGATACTAGATGAAGAGTCTGAGAAATGTACAAGTGAAAGCATTGCAGAAACACATCTTATCATGTCATTCTGGTGTAGTTTGTAGTGCAAATGTCTTAGCACACTTAAAATAAGACAAAACTAACTCACAAGTCACGTTTTTCGAGCTGTAGGAACTTGTTTTAAGTCAACAATTCTTTAATATTGATGAGAGAGTACTTATCACAAGATATTTCCCCCATGTTATAAGTTAAATAATCTGCAGTTTTCATCAAAATTAAGGAATCGTTTACTGAAAGGAAGCTCCAATATCTGCTTATGTGTTAGTTTTGTCTTATTTCGAGTGTACTAAGATATTGCCCTAGAAAATAGACAGAAAATACTTGGTAAGATTTTGTGTTTTTGCAGTTTTAGGATCATAGGAAAACTGTACATGATGCAGTTTTGTTTATTTGTGCAAAAAGACTTTCTGAAAGTACACGGTCTGGTGCAGTCACTGGTCGGTAGGAGCTATGCTAACGCTCCTTTGTGCATTTAGGATGCAGCA